ACCTGCTTTAAGGACTGGGTTGAGGATGGTCTGACCTAACCATGCCACGTGCCTGGTGGGCAGTGGCTCCACAACCCCCGGTGCTGCCCGGCTGTGGGGCAACACTGTGTGGGGTCCTCCGTGACCCAGGGTCTGACTCCAGTGTGAATCTGAAGGTAGGGATGGCTGCTTGTCTTGCCCCGGGCCTGGGTGGCAGCGCATCCTGCTCCGATTGCTCCTGCTACACTAGCTGGGGATGGAGCCCGTGGCTGTGGGGCAGGGTGCAGGTCGGGGAGGGCCCTGGCTTAAGAGTGTCTGGCTGGTACATCAGCTGGGGTGGGGCTTCTGGTGGGTTTGGCCAAGTGAGCAATGAGTCCAGGCTGGGCTGCTTGATAGTGCCCCTGCATAACACCCGCAGAGTCTCCCTATGCCTGAAGAAGGGCGTTTGTGTCTGAAAGCTTGCAAAGAAATTTTTTTCCAACTATTTAGTTGGTCTAATAAAAGACATCACATTTACCTAAAAAATCTTGCCTGATAGGGCCCCTGACACCTATGGCCTGTGGAGCCATTTTATCCAGTCTGCAGGACTGGGGTGCTTTTGCAGCATTTCTCTTGTGGGCAGCTCTGCCCAGCCGTCAGGGAGAAGTGGCAGCAGCCAGCTCCAGCTCTGGATCTGGCTCCAGTGACAATGGCACAGGCCAGTGTGGAAGTGGCCTGAGCTCAGAGCTAAGCTCTGTTAAAGCACCCTGCCCCCCCCCCCAAAAAAAACAACATTGTTGTGGTCAGCGAAGCCTCATGCCTCGTGGGATAAATCCTTCCCCCGTTGTCCCATCTCTTTATGCTTTCTACTGAGATTATCATGACCTTCTCCCATGATTAGGTGAATGTTTTCTCAAAGCAGGAATATTTTTAGTATACACACATGCACATACAGAAAGGATTGTTGGTTGTAGCTGTGTTGGTCTAAGGACATAGGCAGACACGGTTCTTTGGGTAGATGTGATCTCTTTTATTAGACTAACTAAATAGTTGGAAAAATTGTTCTTTGCTAGCTTTTGGGGACAGGAAGGGCATTTGTGCCCATGAGCTTGCAAAGAACAAATTTTCCAACCATTAACTGGTCTAATAAAAGATATCACAGCGACCCAAAAAACCCTGTCTGCCTATACAAAAAGGATTAATATAGGTCTACCATGGTATAGTATCTTGGCAAACTGAGTCAGGTTGAAGTGTAGTTAGGAATCCCAGAGCCATACCACATTGGCTTATTTCAGATACCATAGCATGCTTGAAACCCAGTGTAACTTGAATGGAGTTTTGCTAAATTTGCATAGGCTCCTGAATCAATCAGGCAGCCTTCCTAGACCTAGTAGTGTATTTTTTTTTCCCATCAAAATCACGTACGTCCTTAGAGATTTGCTATCAACCAGACAAAGCTGGAAGGTTTCTCAAGAGGTCATCAAATCCAGCCTCCTGCTCAAGAGAGGATTCTCTCTGTCCAAACCTTCCCACACTACCCTGCACTTAAAACTATCCAGGGATGGATATCCCACATCTCTAGCAGACTTCTCTAGTGCTTAACCACTACAGAAAGAAAGCTCTTCCTAATCTCGAGCCCTGGCACTGGTGAAGCATTGAACGAGATGATTGTGAAAGTAAGATGAAGTGTTGCAGCTGAGCATTGCTTTGGGATTTTATGTACTTACAAAAAGGTGGATACTAGGAGTGTGAATTGAGACTGCAGAAAAGGTTTTGGCATCCCACCTGATTTTGCATAGCTTCTACCACTTTTATTTTGGCCATAAGTCGCAAATAACACAGTTATTCTCTTCTTTATAGCACTCCTATTTTTCTACGGTAAAGATCATCTACACTGTAGGATATAGCGTATCTATCGCCTCGCTCACCATTGCTGTGACAGTTCTCATTGCCTTCAGGTAAACTGATGAGCATCTAACAGGACTCCAAAAATAAAAGAAACTGAATAAACAGAAATGCGCACTGCACTGAAAAGCCATGGGCAGAAAGGTTTATATCTTTAAAATGAGCAGAAACAGCTAATTTTGCAATGACTGAGTTCAACTGCAATACTTTTCACAATAAGTGAATTTTAAGATCACCTGCAAGTGATCTGGTGTGGGTTGGGCTTAATAAGAGCCTGATTTTCATAACTGCTGAGCATCTCTGACTCCAGCTGAAAATGTAGGACTGAAATTGTTTGACGTCTCTGAAAATCAGGCTCAGCGTTTTTTTTTTACATGGAAGGTGGTTGACCAAAATTAACTAAAGATATGATTTGTAAATCACAGGGCATCCCTGTATGTATATTATTATTATTAAGAAGTAAAGTGGCCTTAATTCAATGGTACTTAATTAATTCCTACAGTTCATTAAACTAAACCAAATACAGCCATAGTCATTCTGAGTAACAGTGTCTACCTACGCATTTAATACACCTTATATACTCCACTTTAAAATTAGTTTAGATTAATTTCCTTGACTGTCCCCATGCTGATAAGCCATACATCCACTGCCTGCTACCTAGAAAACAGGTACCTAGGTAGCCACAGGTACTCTGCAGCATTCTTATTATCTTGGAAGCTGTTTTATCTCCTTCAGTTTTATATTAGTCAAGGTCATTTCTGCAAATTCAGGCTTCCCACTGGCACAAGTGCATATTTGGGATCCAAGGGAGGGACCGGTCTGGTACGGTTCTGGGAGGGTTTAACACCCACTCATATTAGATATCAACTAAAAGGGAAATTTTCAAGAGTGCTTAAAATAAACCTAGTTCCCTTAGCAGTCAGCTATTTGCTTCAGCAGGAGCAGAGTTAGGCCAAAGCAGACTGCTTTTGAAAATCCCAGCCTCAGGAAACCAGCATCTGGCAAAGATTATTCACCTCCCCTCACTTCAGTCTTTTGGCTTCTTTCCTTACAGGAGACTCCGCTGTCCCAGGAATTATATCCACATCCAGCTCTTTCTCACCTTCATCCTGAAAGCTATTGCCATATTCATTAAGGATGCCGTCCTCTTCCAAAAGGAAGACATTGATCATTGCAGTTTCTCTACTGTAAGCATTTGAGAAGCTCACTTTGGTATATGCAAAATATATTGCTTTATCTCTTCCAGTGGCTTGTGCTTTTATTTTATATGTTCAAAGAGCAAAACGTCAAAGGTCTGCCTGAAACAAATGGCCCGTTGATGTACGTTATATGCTAGCCCAATTTTGGCGGTGGTCCTTCAAAGTCGAGGATGACGTCCGTCAGGCTTGATGGGTCCTCAGGTGACTGAGGAGCCAGATTCTGGATACACACAGTCTTCGCCAATGGGGACATGTTGCATGGGGGAGTGGGATTTGCAGCCTTGGGTTGGTCTCCTTCTCCTTCCTCTGTCACCGCCGTTCGGCCTTGGTATGGAGTCGTTGGGCCTTGGAGGACCAGGTGGTGCCACGCCGAATGGTCAGCAGCTTGCTCCTCCCAGCCATTGGTGTCAATGCCTCCATGCTTGAGCATGTTTTTGTACCATTTCCTTTGGCCGCTCTTTGAGTGCTGGCCAATGGAGACCTGGGAGAAAAAGAACCTCTAGCCCAATTTATAGTGCCATGGGTACACAAATGAGTGATGTAACTAGCCACCTTGGACTACCTAGCCTCAGTGACCAGACACCTATTTACAGGTGTGTTCCCCGGGGTCAGCCTGCGGTGCAAGTCTGAGTGAGGCTATAGCTCATCATCCTCCAGAGCCATAGCGAGGCCTTAGGAATGATAGCTGTCAGCTCTGTTTTAATGCAAGCTGCTGCTTTATGGAATCCAGGCTGCCTGTTTCCTGGGCAAGCACTCAACTCCACTTTGGCACTGCATCATTGTTGGATAAAAATGCAGTGAAGGAAGAGCTGACAGAGAGCAGAGGGCCAAAATGCAGGTCTTCCACCCTCCCAAAACAATTCCCTCCTTACTGGGACACAGAAGTATACTCCCTCTTATTTGCTCTCCTCCTACCCCAGGAGTCTCTCCCTCCTCACTGCACAGGGCTTGGCTCTAGTTCATCAAGTTGAAATTGAAAAATATTGTTGACTGTTACTATTGTTAGATAAATTCTCCCCTCAGCTCTCTGCAATGTTGAAAGTCTCGCTAATGCTTGAAGCTGCAGCTTGAGCTGAGGACCTTGCAGTTGAGACTATTCACATGAATAAGTGGTTTTCATATGAATATTAGACAGCAAACACAGGTCTATATTGAAGTGGTCTGAAAATGGAAGGTGTGGTGATCTGAAGCTGCTAAGAGGTTTGCGATTCTTTACCAAAAGGGGAAAAAACCAAACCAAAAGACATTCCATTTAATGGTGTCATCTGCATCGGTATCAGAGTTGGGCTGTGTTGTCTCTCACACCCATAATTAGAGGTGTGGGGCACCCAAAATGCCCTATAATGGTAACTGGAATTATGGACGCTCATCAGGTTTGAAAGGTCAACTCAAATATTTGCATGTGTTGTGCTGAATTTTTGCCTTTCCTTTTCCCTAGACTGAATGCAAGATCTCAGTTGTTTTCTGCCACTATTTTATGATGACCAATTTCATGTGGCTGCTGGTAGAAGCTCTTTATTTGAACAGTCTGCTGCTCTCATCCCTCCCTCATGGAAGAAGATACTTTTGGTGGCTGGTTCTGTTTGGCTGGGGTACGTAAGGGCAGGGATGGGATTGGTCAAGAATATAATACCTTCCAGGACTTGATCCCTCTCCTTCTGATGTCAGTAGAAAGATCATTGGTGTAGGCATCCATATAAACTGACTGCAAAATAACTGCCTTTATATTGTAAAAAGTCAGACCAGGATTTTAGGAACAGCCCCACAGGGGAGGAATCAAAATCATATCTCCCTCTTCCCAAGCCTTACCAACCGGGCTACGGTCTAGTTCAGGCTGAGAACATCCTCTACTCCCTCATGTTCAAGTTGGGTGGAAAGATCCCCATAACGAAAAGGAAAACAGGCCAAGTGAACCCTGACTCTGTAGACCAGCAGAGAGGGTACTCACCTAGGAGGAGGAAGACCTGGGTTCTGGTTATTTCCGGTTGGTTTTCATCTGTTTCTTGTAAAATGCACAAAGAGTCTAGGACTGGAGTCAAAGGTTGGAAGCCAGGTCTCCTGCTTCTCAGGGTAGTGCCCAGAGCACTTGACTTTGGTGGCATGCCTTGTCCTGCTTAGTGTTTCTCTTTCTTCTTTGAGATCCCTGCATTCTTGACTGCTGAGTACCTCCCCCACCCCCCCGTTGGAAAGGAGCCGTGGGACCTTTCCTGGGCAAGCTCTCAACCCTGCCTTTGGCATTGCATGGTTGTTGGCTAAAAATGCAATGAGGGCAGAGCTGGAGGAGAGGCAGAAGGCCAAAATGCAGATCTTCCACCCATGCCCCCCTTACTGGGGCACAGAAGTATACTCCCTCCTACCCCAGGACTTACTCCCTCCTGACAGCACAGGGCTTGGCCTTTATTTTATCAAGTTGAAGTTTAAAAGTATTGTTGACTAGTACTATTGTTAGCTAAATTCTCCCCTCAGCTCTCTGCCATGATAAAAGTTAAAGCTAATGCTTGAATCTGCAGCCTGAGCTGAGGGACCGGAAGCTGAGACTCTTTACATGAAAAAGTGGTTTTCATATGAATAAAAGACTGCAAAAGCAGGTCTATACTGAAGTTTGACCCTAAGTGCAAATGTACTTATGGACCCCCTCACAGCCTCAAAATGCTGAACATAGGTTGCTTGTAACTACTTAGTTTCATAGTGTGTAGAGAGACTTCCTCTTTACATTTACGTTCCCCACAGAAACCTTTATTAAGTATAAATGCTGTTCCTGTTGCACATGTAAATGCTGTTCCTGTGGGTGCCCTGTAATATCATTTTAGGGCTGCTGTGGACAGGGTGGAAATTGAATGAGGGGTAATTAATGACATGGGAAAAAACCCATAACACATGTTGAATTGTTTTACAGGTTTCCCAACATTTTTCACCCTTGTGTGGATATTAACCAAGTTTTATTTTGAAGACACAGCGTAAGTAGCAGTTTTATACCAGATTCCATAGCATGTTCCCGTTTCAATGCTATGAGAAGTTTTGATCCCGTAATATGGCCCTTTGTGAGTTACTGGGGTCCTAGGAAAGTTAGTGCATTAAACCTTCACATCCATCCTGCACTTGCTCTTGATCGTCTTTCTATGTAATTATTATTCAGATGAAAAAAAGAAAATACTAATGAAGTCCATGTCCTGCTGAAGTCAATGGAAGTTTTGCCATTGTCTTTAGTAGAAACCAAATTTCACCCTGCATTTTTATTTCCCTCTGGAAAAAGAATAAAGGGATACCTTGAAAAAAAAAATCCAGACAAATTCACATCTTGACCTGAGAACATAAATTGTTTCAGGCTAAAGGGAAGGTTTTAAGACAAATTAGAACTAACTGAAAACACGTGCTAGTAATGGGAGTTAAGTTAGGGAAGTGATAGTTTTTAGGCCAGTTGAAGTATTTCTTGTGCTGCAGAGAAATCAAGGTGTTCTCATGAGACAACGATAACTTTATAGGCAAGCGAGAATAGTTTCTGAGCTCAGAAACCTAAAGAGGTTGAATGAAGTTTCCACTTTTTGTGGAGAAAGTGCCTCATCTTCAAAGAACAATGATGCTTTCGATCTGGCTCGCAGCTTGCATCTGTTCGACCTATGGAGAAATAGATGACTGAGCTATCATTTAGTGTTTTAGGGCCAGTGGAAATCCTACTGTTTTGATAAGGACCAGAAAATATTTATGGAGCCCTGGGATCAGAGAATATCTGTGGCAACTGTACATTACAAACCATGGCTGCAGACATTTGGATACTAATACTGCCTCTCAAAATGTCACGGTCACATAGGTATCTACTGACCATTAGGGCTGTGTGAAGCTTCACTCCCCAACTTGATTTGGTGGAGATTTGGTCTGATTCGGTGGCTGAATCTCCGAATCTGAATCGAATCAGAGGACTCTTTAATTTCTCTGAATCATATTGGAGAGATTTGGAAACATTTGGCGATTTGGACAGAGACACAGCTTTAAATGCTTTTCCTATGTAGCTTTAGAGGTAGCAGGCAGCTCATGAATGCTGCGATGCTGGGGCAGGTGGAGCATCCCACAGAAGCACAGGGGGGAACCCCAGTGCGCTCGGCAGTGGACTCAGAAGTGGACCAGAAGTAGTCCTGGTCCACTTTCAGGTTTGCCACCGAGCGTGTGGGGGGCACCCCACGCTCCTGTGGGACACTCCATCCACCCCACCATTGCAGTGCTCACAAGCCACTCCTGGTACCTCAAGGTATATAGAAAAAACATTTTAAGCTGTGTCTAGGGCTGAATTGCTGATTCTCTGAATCAGCATCGAATTGTCAGATTTGGATTTGGCTGAATCAAATTGGGGACAGTGATCCGAATCCACGAATCAAATCACTGTCCCCGATTTGGGCCGAATTCAAATCCAAATTGAATATGGCCTGTTTTGACACTCCCACTGACTAGCCAGTGTAATTTCGTGATATAACAGTATTTCTCTGACCATGTCTGTCTATCCATGTTAATTGTAGTGCTATTTTTGTAGATGCTGGGATATTAACCATGGCTCTCCGTACTGGTGGCTAATCAAGGGACCTATCATCCTTTCTGTTGGGGTATGTGTGATATTTTGAACTTTGTAAACATTCCTTGAAAAATGATTATGAAATGGTATTAAATAGAGAAGGTGGTAGGGGGAAGCCTAGGGTGGGAATGCACTGCCTGACTTGTAGCTTCCAACTGAGAGCCAAGGCTGTACAGAAAAGCGTACATCCTAAGGATGGATTAGATAATAATAAGAGGATTAATGTGGAAACTTTAATATTACTATGAACTTGCAAAAACCACTCTTCCCCATGTTTGAAAGACTTCTCATTCCCATTGAAAATAATGGGAGTTGAGCTACTAAACCTCTCTTGACCTTGGTGAAAGTGGAGGATTTGGCTGAAAACCCCTCCACTTTAGCAACGCATTTAAATATATGCTTTATAAGTGCAGGGTAGTCTCACCTAATTTTGTTCTCTGCTTAAGGTGATCACAGCAATAATGACCTTTGAGTTGTGTATGTATTGGCATTAGATAAGAGGTTGGGGTTAATGGATCTGGGTGTGCAATTAATCCCAACAAGTCAGGAATCCACAGAAAATATCTAATGTACAAATTCAGAAAAGCTGGGCATTCAACTGCAGTTAAATGCACTGCATGTGTGTGTCTTATGAAGTTTCCAGGTGCACATACGTAAGGAGTATGAACGTTGTTGAAGGGGCTGATTGTGCAGGATAGAGTGGTGTGAATGCAGACTCCAAAAATAAAGATAGTCATTAGCTGTAATCTGCTGTGATGAAGTTTTAATACTGCTGTGCACCTCCCTTGTTTTTGCCCATTTGTGTTTGACTGACATCCCCAACTACTTGGCAGGAATGCTAAAATCACCATGATGTTCATTTTTGTGCAGTCAGGCACTTAACTATCAATGGTGGGTTAAATGAGATTAAAAATGTCTGGGGAAAGATGGACATCTTTAGACCAAAATAATCGTCTCCATTCCCCTGAAAGAGAAACGAATGCACAGATATCCACTTACACTAGGTTAACAGGGAGAAATTCTCCATAGGTATGAATGACCTGTTTACTTCATTGTATATATATCAAATTAAGCAAGGGGCAAGCATTTTTATGGGTGATATATTTATCAGACCACGCACAGTTAGAATAGATTTAGCAAGCTTTCAGACATAGTATATTCTTACATCAGGGTTACATCATCACTAGAACAGTCTCAAATTAAACCAATTTAACTGGCAAACTCAAAAGGTATTGACCACGGTCACATGCAACAACTGTAATTGTCTCAAATGGGAAAATGAAGAATCATGTGATCTACAGTGAAACTGTTAATCACTTAACAGACTAACAAAGATTGGTTGTTTATAAGATGTGGTGTTCCCCAGTGAATAATGAGAAAAATTAGTTGCAGTACTCTTACAGGACACTTCACTTGTCTCTGTAAGATGGGCAGTGTCCAAAGAAGGTGCTATTCTAATACGTATAATAAACAATGCTTTACAATGAGGGTGTACAAAAGGACACAATGTACTGCAGTAGCAACTTTTCATAGCTAAGTCACAATATACTTTTCACCTGAACGTTTGTTATGGAAAAGTAACATTTTTTTTTCCAAAAAAAAAAAATGGAAACAGGTCAACTTTATCCTCTTTGTCAACATCATCAGAATCTTGCTGAAAAAGTTGGACCCAAGACAAATCAACTTCAATAACTCCTCTCAATACAGGTAATGCATGCAACGTGCAGAGAGTGAGCAATGAAGCCTAGCCAGAAAGAGGAAATGCGGTATTTTCCAAATAGAGAAGGACATACTCAAGGTCATAGACAGAGTCAGTTCGGAGCCAGGAGAACAGCTCAGGGGTTCCTGGCTGTAGTCCTGTTCTCAAGGCCGCTAGACCCGAACTGCACGTTTATTCATACTTATTCAAAAAGCAAGACTGCCAAATTGTACAACAAGAAAGGCTGGTTATGTGATTCTTCCCTGCCAGCCAGAAGCACTGGAATTCTCTCCCCAGCTTTGTTCTCATGACACTTCCCGACTGATTTTGCAGTCTCAAAAGAAGTTGAAGTTTAGGAACAGAAAACCCCCTTTTCTTACCCTGGTGAGCGTCACTTCTTATTAGTGAATCTTGCTCTTACTGGTCTTCGTGCTCTTCAGAAAAATGATATGATGTTGTCTCCTTTCTGACACCAGGCGTCTCTCAAAGTCAACACTGCTTCTTATTCCACTATTTGGGACCCATTATATTGTTTTCAACTTCCTCCCCGAATATACCAACCTGGGAGTCCGGCTTTATTTAGAACTCTGCATTGGATCTTTTCAGGTAAACCTGTTGAAGTATTGCAGCAGTTAGATACTTTATTGCCTATATATTGTTTTCCTTCCCTTGGAAGTTTGACTGATTCAAAACTTGCCAAAGTATACCAGGTCTCCAACGCTAGGGGAGTTGTAGAGCACTGATCAAGCTGTGGTGGGTGACCTACTGCTCCAAAGTTAAATGGTACACAAAGTTATCCAGTGGCTGTAGAAAATCACTCATAAATATACTCTAAGCACATAGGGTGCTTAGAGTACTGAGGGAATTGGCTGAGGTCATTGCGGGACCCCTGGCATGGCTTTACAAGCACTTGTGGTGCTCTGGTGTGGTGGAAGAGGGCCAGTGTGATTCCCATCTTCAAAAAGAGGAGGAAGGAGGACCTGGGAAACTATAGGCCAGTTAGTCTTACTTTGATGCTGGGCAAGCTTTTTGAGAAAATTATTCTGGCACATGTCCACAAGGGGCCAGCGGGGGAGATTATGCTTAGGGGCAACCAACACGGGTTCATTAGAGGCAGGTCTTGTCAGACCAACCTGGTGGCCTTCTATGACCAGGTCACCAAATCATTATGCAGGGGGAGCAGTGGACATAGTCTTCCTGGACTTTCGGAAGGCCTTCGACATTGTCTCTTACCCTGTTCTCATTAAAAAACTGGGGGGCTGTGGTGTCGACAAATACACAGTCAATTGGGTCACCAACTGGCTGGAGGGCCGTACCCAGAGAGTGGTGGTGGATGGGTCATTTTCAGCCTGGAGGGATGT